ACCGACCAGATGTTCGACAACAACCAGAACCACCCACAGACACAGGCGTCGGAGGTCAAGAACGAAAGTATAAGCCAGAAGGGCAAGGCAGATATGCAGGCCGTCGACGACAGGCTCGCGAACCGCGAGAGGGAGCACAAGGAAGAGAAGATCAGGCGACAGGCTGGCGTGCCCCAGACTAACGCCGGTCACCACCCCCGTCCTCTGCAGTAAACTGTAAAGTTGGAAAAGTTGAGATGATGGATGAGAGAGAGAGAGGGGGCTTTACAGAAGGTTATGTTATTGGGGACTTGGATTGGGCTGGTTTTGACGATTAATGACTTGACGAATAAACAAACAATCACTATGCACTTTTACAGATCCTCGGTCCTAAAATAAAAACAACTTGGTGTTAGAGAATTTGAGACGCTACCTGGCCGATGGCGCGGTACAATCGGAACTTGACTAGCAGGGTACTTGTATTCGGCTGTTAATCTTCTGGGGTAGCCAATCGAATATTATAAGATCGTAATTGACTTGTAATTCACCCAGGTTGATAATTGCTTGCTTAGCACTATTAATTGACAATACCACAGCAATTGTCAAAGAAAAGTAACCGGAGGCCAAGAAGGCAAAGACTCGGGGATTCAAACATGGTACTATCGCCGGGCCGTGCCGATGTCATAAACATCAAATGCTAGCTAAAGTAGCTACATCTTTATATTCTCTCTGGTTAGGATAGGAGGTAGGTACCTGCCCCCTCTTTAAACGATCATGTAATCGTAGACGGAGGTAGATAATCTACAAGTAGGGGTCTACCTACGCGTGTATAGAGGAGATAGGTAGGTATTAATGTGTACACGTACAGTACACCAGTGCTACCTATCAGCCTATCACCCATCTCAATCATATCTAGATATCCTCCTTCTAGCAATGGCAATTATATATAAACTAGAGGCCATTTGATTTGGTCTTGGTCCCTATAGCCCCAGGTGAAAGTAGTATATGATCAGCGGCTATTATATTCATGGCTTCTCAGCTACCACACCTAGACCAGCGGTGTAAGAAAGGGAAAAAAAAGAAAAAGGCCTCGAGGTAGGTTATAGAGATTCTCTATATATATATATTAGATGGGTAAAAGAAATGTTATTATCCTTAAAAGTTTCGAGCGGGGGTAGTTGAAAGGGAAAAGGGATGTAATTACGTGGATGCAACAGCAAGGAGGAAATGGGACGGCCCGAGTTAGACTTAGACGCTAGAGGAGCTAACCCTAACCTTAACCCTAACCCTAACCCTATCTCCTGGGTTTCGGATATAGCCGGACACCACCACCACTGGCGGCGGCGGTTTGCACATGTTGTAGTTCTGGTCTTCCTTTCAACATGTTTCGTCTTGTACCAGTTACGGACTACGACTACATGGGCCGGAAAACAACAAAAAGAAGATATCACCAACAATGAATGAGAATCGAGTTCTATCTGACCAAGCCGAGACCTCCAACGACACCCCTACTACAACAACGCATACACGACTACGCTCGTCTAGACTTACCCATGGACTGGCTAGATCCCTCCGATTCCGAGCGCGTGACAATAGCCGTGATCCGACTTGAAGCAACAGAAACGAAAGATTATCGCGGTCCAGTATTTTTCAACCCCGGCGGACCCGGAGTACAGCGGTGTATTTGCCATGAGGGATAGAGGTGGGTATCTGCAGAGTATAATCGGACGAAATCACGACTTGATCACCTTTGATCCGAGAGGTGTCGGATTTTCGTCGCCCAGGATCCGTTGCTGGGATTATCCCGAACAGAGCCGGTTATGGGACACGGCGGATGCGGGAGTGGTGGACGCGCATCCGGGGATCGTGTATGATGTCTATGCCCGGGCCGTGGCTTTTTTCGGTAGACTTGTGAGTCGCATATGGATGGAAAATCGAATATCCTGCGCCATGTGGGCACGGCTTCGCATGCGAGGGATATGTTGGAAATTCTGCACCTGCTAGGTTATGAGAAGGGGTTTTAGCTATGGCACTCTTCTCGGTGGCGTCTTTGTCGCCATGTATCCGGATAAAGTCGAGAGGTTTGTTAGTGATGGTGAGCTTTTTTTCTTTTCTTTTTCCACCTCTGGTGCTATCCATTTAGTCTAGGTATCGAATTCTTTCTTTGCGCAGATCAGACTAATGAGGTATCCGGAAACATCCCGTGATAGTTGATCGGCTATTAACTGGCGATGCGCATATCCCTCAAATCATTACTTGGTCGCACGTCCGTCGCCTCACTTCCTCTGCACTATATCAGCCCATAGCTCTCTTCAAGAAATACGCTGCGGCTTTGGCTGCCTTGGAAATCAACGATGGACGTCCTGTTTACGAAATGAGTATGATAATCCCCCCCTTGAAAAATAAACATGGAAGCTATTCTGTAGAGCTGGGGGTTTTTTTTTTTCTTTCATTATCCTTTATGAAACCAATTCCGATAGCATACCAAAGAATAAAAAATAAAAGAATTTGCTGATTTAATTGTATCGAAGTTCAAAGTCAATCCCATCATGAACCACACAGCCGAAAACTTTGCCCAGTTCGCAGAACACTTGGGCGGAATAAGCCACTCTGCCGGCCGCTGTCAATGCGCTTTTCCGTCTGGCTTGTGTTGGCCGAAAGGTCAGGCCGAACTGGCGATACGACGGTATGCTCAGGCCAAAAACGTAAAATAACTGTCTATTTTGCAGCATACCGGTTTGTCTGCCGCTTCGACTTGCACCGCCGGCTATATCCGCAACTATTTTCAACGAGGGGAACTTCCTATACCGTGGAACGATGTGTGAATCCGATTATTACCCTTTTCAGGATATCACACCGAGAAACGACGACGACAACGACGACGACGACGAAGAGTTGACAACGGCCCTTCATGGGCTTTCTGGTGCCAATTGGGGCTTCGCAAGTAAGTTGGCTATATGAGGCCTTCGTCTAGTCATCCGAAAAGCGAGAGGACCTTCAAGTACATGCCATGTCAGTGTTACCAGGAGCTATACCTTTAGGATAACGCATGAATCTTAATCCCGTTGCACTGTTTATTGTGATGAACTACGGCTGTCTCCCGTCTTCCTTTTCCTCCCCTTACAAGAAACCATGGCGTTGTGGTTCCTATGCAAGATAGTATCTGAAGTCTAACCTACTCGGCCCTCTTGTTTTGTTATGCGACTGTGCATGGTAGCACGTACGTACATTTGTCCATTGGTTAGAAATAAATCAACACATGGCCTGCCGGTCTTGAACACAAGCCTTGGACTCTGCACAGTGGTATCTGCCGACCCGTGGGATGTAATCAAACAACAAACACTAAGTATGCAAGCAAGAATCGCCGGCTGATGGAAAAAAAAAAAAAAAAAAAGCAACTGTCACCTGACATAACGCGTCTTTACAAACCCGGCTACCTACCTATCCTTTGACTTTGCGCCCGCGGACGAATACTTGCTTAATATTGCGATCATCACCCGTCATGACAAACTTGTCGAATATCGTCTTTATAGAGTCGTGTTCTTCGACCGGAGCCATGACGCCCGGCGCGGCGCTTTCCGCATCGATGAGCAGGGCATCGAACTCCTTCCCCGGCGAGAAACTGCCGATCCTATGATCCAAGCAGCAGACCCGGGCGCCCCCGAGCGTGGCAAGATAGAAGACTTCTCCGATCGACAAACCCTTATCCCCGCCGCCACTCGATTCCTCCCGAGCATTAGACGCCACGAGAGCCTGCCTCATGGCGTCCAACATGCTGCTCGAGAAGCCGCCGCCGCTATCGGTCCCCAAGCCGACCTTGATGCCCCGACGCAAGAACTGGCGTACGGGGGCGGCCATGAAGCCTCCGCCGACAGTCATATTCGACACGGGGCAATGCGCGACGCCGCACCCGAGATCTCTCAACCGGTCGAGCTCGTACGCCGACATATAGCAGCAATGCGCGAGGATGGATCGCTCGGTGAGCAGGCCGAAGTGATCGTACAAGTCCACCTCGTTTCCGAAAGCCGGAAACAGCGTCTTTGTGAAATCCATCTCCTGCCTGGCCTCGTTGAAGTGCGTCTGGATCGGCAGGTCCGGGTTATCGCGAGCCATCTGTCCCAGGCCGGCGAGAAGCGCATCCTCGCACGTGATGGCGAACCGAGGTGTGATCACATGCTTGACCAACCCGCCCTCGGGGTCAACCTTCCTCATGTGCGCGATGCAGTCCAGCGTGTCGTCTAACGAGGACCGCACCGTCGCATCGCGATAATAGTCGGGCGCGTTGCGATTCATATTGCACTTCCCCACAAACGCCCGCTGACCCTTCTCGAGGCAGAGGTCGGCCAGGATCTTTGTAGCCTCGGCGTGCGCGGAGCCGTAGTACGAGGCTGTAGTAACGCCTTGTTGGAGGAAGCCATCCACGCAACTGGAATAAACGCGCCGAGCGTAGGCCGGGTCGCGAAAGCGGGCTTCGTTGGGGAATGTGATCTTGTCTAGCCAATCCAAGATATGCATGCTCTGGCCAAGCCCGCGTTGGGCCCATTGTGGCGCGTGGTTGTGAGTGTCCACGAAGCCTGGAACGAGGAATTGACCGCGTCCGAGGTAGTGTACTTGGCCATATTCCGTCTCGGAGAGCCCTGCTGTTGCTAGACGCTCCGGAACCGAAGACTTCGGAACCGACGCGGCCAACTGGGAAATCGTACCGTCTGGTTTGACAACGATTAAACCGTCTTCTATTATCTCAAAATCGTCTAGGGCAAGACTGTGGAGAAAGGTCCCATGGAAGACAGTATGTTGGGGCATGACTGTTAAGCAGGATGTAGAATAAAGTAAATAAATACTCGTACGTTGGATGGGCCGGGACCCCTCAATTCAGGTGTCGCGGCCAGCACAATGAGAAAAGACTGTTCTAATGGCCAACCGTCCGGCCCCCTACACGTACATGGTAAAAACGCTGACTCTTCCCGTTTTGAGCTATGGTAAGACGTTGTACCTCACAACCAGCCAACCACTTTGTGCTTGGCCTCGTGGCCCAATGGCAAGGCGTCTGACTACGATTGGAGAAGATGGTTTCGTCTAACCCCACGTTATCAGGAGATTCTGGGTTCGACCCCCAGCGAGGTCAAAAAAGATTTGTGTCCCATAACAAATGCGACGTAGGTATATTTTTGGCTTTGTTATCCATCACCGGTATCGAATTGTTTTTACATTGAAATGTGTTTTTTTTGTGGTTAATGTACTTTCGTTGTCGGGATCGTAGTGCAGAAATTATGACATTTGCATCGTAAGGGACTGTTTTGAATTTGCAAGTTTTCTGTTCCCAAATTCCATCTTGGGGTTTGACAAATGCTTGTATAGATACAGTCCTAGAAGAAACACTACTTAATCATATATACCTGTATAATCCTCCAACTATCCTACAGAGAATGACAACGGAATAAAGTTTTTGTTCCTCAAGTCTGCCTGATAGCGCCCAAACGTCTGAAACATGGACTTCTGATATCAATATGATCTTCGCTCTGTTGGAATATCTGAGCCCGCGGATTGAGAGCCCTGCCAGGGGTATGTTCCGGCCGATGTTCCGACCTACCACGATGTTTTCTTTCCTGACGTTTCGGACGTGGCCCCGCGTCGCTTCTGCTGCGTCGTTTATTCTGCGTTGTCTTTGCAGGTTCCAAGAGGGAGCCGTGAGGCGCTAAAGGTTCTGGGGACTTGCCATGTGGCGCCGACAATGCCTCACTGTTTGCCGACTGTTGTTTACTTCGTGAAGCTTCCATGGCAGATCCTTCTGGCTTAGTTGACAACTGCTCGGCATGCTTGTCTGCCTCTTGATGAGGTTCTTTCATGACTTCGCCACAAGTCTCATTTCTTTCCGGCATAGATTCGGCGCTGCTGTCAACACCTCCATCGTCATCGAAAAGCTCTTGCTCGCCCCGCACAGTCTCGTTCTCGACTTGCAGAGGGTTTGGCATCCCTTCCTGATTTTCTGGCTTAGGGGTAAGTAGGCTTTCACTGTGGCCCTCTGAATGTAGCGGATGTTTGGCCTTGTCTAGTGGCGAGATGGAATTTCCCCGCGTGTGGCTCGGAGAAGTCGGGTAGTCATCTGGAATAGCTCCTTCCCGGCCATCGGCGTAGGCTTCGTTGCCTGAAGCATGGGGGCCGCTATCTGGAGTTAGGCCGAGCTTAGGTGGATTCGAATTTGTTGTCCCGGTACGCCCCAACAGAATGTTCGATCCTCCATCTTCACGAGGTCCTCCCCTTCCAGATGCAGAGTGCAGCCCTCGGGGTCGTACCGTAGGATCGGAGCCTTCAATGCGCGAGTTAACGGGTGATCCATGTGATTCAAGGTCATGGATGCAATACCGACGGCCTGGGTGTCCACCTCCAAATCGTCTGTCATGTCGTGCTTCATCCCGAGGCTGTTGTGGTTGTTACTAGAGGCTGATGGATTCCGATCAGGGCCGCGGCTGTCCTTTTCTGGCCTCCCATGTTCCGTTGGTAGCGAGCTTTTCGTTTCCACTGCTTCCCTAACGTCTCCCGCTGGGGGGGAATGCGTAATGCTCTCCGACCCTGGCTTGCTAGAGGTGGGCTGTATGGGAGACGAATGTCTTGGTGAGCCATCAGATAATAATTGCTTCGATTCCATGGGACTCTTTGCGCCTTGAACTTTCCAACTCTTCGCCGTGGTATTGTTAAATGGTGATGGTGATTTTTCTGGCTGTCCGTGTACTACCTTTTTATCCTTTTCATATTCGTGCTTTTCCAACGTCTCTTCACCCTTGATAATGCACTGAGTGGTTTTATCCTCACTGCTCCCTGTATCCTGCTCCGCATGTACTCGTTCCACCCGACCACCTTTTGGCCTCGATACACCTACAAGCATGATTAGTCACAGAACGTTTATTACTTTTTCTGCTTTTTCGACCGCTTACCTTCATCATCCCACCGAGATCCATGGCCGATTTCTGCCACAAGTACATTAGTAATGGGCCATTTTGACGTTTCCAGGCAGTTCTATGCAGCTCATTTGGTGTTCACCTACTCTCACGGTCCCCTTCGTCGTGAGATGCTGAACCTGAATCACGCTTTTTGTGACTTTCCTTTTCCTTTAACTCATTAGAATCGTCCATCAAAACCTCACAGAATAGCCTCGGGAGTTCTTCAATAGGACCGTCTGCTGCCTGCGGAAGATCATTTGACTTGGCTTGGAAGGGCATCTCACCGTGGTGTTTTTGTTTTGGGGGTTCAGTAGCCTCGGAAGGTGCTGGTTTATTTGCCGGTTTCTGGGACTCCATTGAGTCGGATGGTGGTGCTTTATTTGCTACTCTCTGAGATTCCGTAGACTCGGCAGATGTCGTTTTGTTTTCTGGTTTCTGGGACTCGGTAGGATCTGAGGATGGGCCCTTGCTTGACGATTTTTGGGATGACTGCTGCTTTGATGATTCGGCAGGTGTAGGGTTGGCCGCATTACTGGCAGCTTTTCCCCCCTCGTCTTTCACCTTGCTTCTTCTACGTCTGGGGGCATCAGGTATAGGTTGTGCCATTTGTTCCTCGATGCGCCGGTTGAGCTCCTTTCCTTGATATGTCAGCAATCCAAGGTGCCAGGTCTTGCGGCGGAGACAACCCAGCACACTCACCTTCCTCTTTTCTTCAAGTTGCTGCAATTTCTTCCTGCCCTCCTCGACCATCTGGCGGGCGACTTCCTCAATCTCATCCATTTTCTGTTCCGTCTCATCCTCCACGGAGGAGGCTTGGCTATCACGCCGTTCTTTTCTTTGTGAGTCTTCATTGGTATGCGTCTGCTTGAGCTCCTCGTCCTCTTTACGGCGCCGGGCTTCGCGTTCTTCATCTTCCTTCTTTCGCCTCTTTTCGATGTCCTCCAAGGTTGCCTTGCGTTTCTTCTCGAGTTCTCGACTCTCTTTTTCGAAGGCCTTTCGTAAATCAGCTAGTTCCTGCTCTCGTTTCTTTTCTAATTGTTCGAGACGCGCTGACTGCTCTTTTGTGGACAGTCCATCGATGGTGAGTTTGATTTCTGAGAGGGTATCTTGCATCTGCGGTAGGAGGATATCGACCGACATGATGGGCAACAAGCGGCGAAGAGATCTACGACGACGAAGTGATGAATTCAGGGGATGTCGGCAGGAAGGTGCGAATATTCTCTCTTGGGGTACCCGGTATGTTAACAAGGGTCGAAAAGAAGCGAATTGTGCGGCGCAGGAGGGAAGTCCAATTACTTTAGGCACTGCTCATATACTGCTGAACGATAGACCACTTTCCTTAGAACCCGCCCAGATGACGTTGATAGCCACTCAGCTGACGACTTATCCGTCAACGAATCCGGAAATACTTCTCTCATTAGCTTTATCGTCCTTTGCCTATATGCTACTGGCATCATAGGGGCTATATCAAGCATGAACCCCCGGATGTGCGAATCGTGGCTTGGTGGGGGTTGGCCTATCAGGATCCGAGCTGTAGACTTTCTGGACGGTAACTAGAAAGCTTATCCTGTCGATACTCCTCCTCTTCTTCACATGGCCTTAATTGAGTGGTTGAGGATTTGGCCCGAAAGTCCACCGGCGTCCCGCAAAGAACTCTAATTCACAAGGGGATATCCTTATCAACCATCTCACCAAGTAACGATATGCGCATAAGGTATCAACACAGTGTTTATGCTGACTATGTTCCAACACATGTCATCCTGACACCATGGTAGAAGTGGTCATTCTGTAGTCATTGTAGTGATATGAAGGTGTCATAAAACTATAATCACCGTCGGAGACTCGAGAATGGGTCGCTAAGGTGGGTAAAATAAGCCGTGAAGGACTTGATGTATGTATCTGCTACCTTAGCATTGAGGGAGACGGAGCTGGGCACTAGGTAAGTACCTTAGGTATGTGTGTCTCGGGTGGGTGCCCTCATGTGCAGAATTCTGCACTTTCCTTGACAAATAAACATCGAGTCGCAACATCCTAAACCTACCTGCTATGCAAGAGAATCGGAATCGAGTGATCAAATCATCCAACCTGGATCGTGGCTACGGCTGCCACACACAGTGTGGTCCATTGCCATCGATTATATACATATAAGTAGGTACCCACGGGGATTCCGATCTGCCCGCGCATTGCAAAAGCGGGAATCGGCATAACGGAGGAGAACCAGGGAGAGAGGACGGGGAAAAGAAGAAAGAAAAGAGCATCAGCCAAGTCGTACAACACCAGGGATTCGCTACTTGGGCCATGAGGCTAAGTAGCGTGTGAAGAACCCCTGGCCTGTGTAGAAGTTTTCTGGGAGTGTTCTGGTTAATCTGGGAATTGGAAAGCCCTTCCTTCGACCTGCATAGCCCCGCGCCCTGCACTAGCCACGGTCTACTTAGCCATATTCACTAGCCCTCAAGACTCTGATCGAAAGTTGATAGGGCGGAAACATGAACGAACCATCGCCAGCGCAAGGCCATGCGATTCGAGAAGTTATAGCCATTACTTCAGGGATGACCTGACTTACTTGACTTGGTGGCTTCGCAATTCACTGGGAACTCGGCTATGTTTAGGGGTTCCAGTTACTAGTCCAAACAGACCGTAACACGACAATTCAAGTTGTGGTGCTCTCGTGGCGCACACCTAGAATATCGTACGCTGGTTGTACATTTCAGCTTGGATCTGTAAAGGAGCACCTCCCCCAACGCGCGACCCACTGTGAAGAGCGCCAGTGACTGTCTGCATAGGACAATGACGACGCCTGTGTCACCTTTGGCCAACATGCCGGCTGAGCTGGATCCCCTCTCTTCCCAGCCATGGCAGTAAAGGCAGTGAAAACTGTTGTGTAATCATAGTCAGTGACTTAAAAACGGGGAAACTAGTCACCTTGTCTTTGAGAACTTACATGCCCGAAATCCAGCATTCGGCGTACCCAAGAATGTCGGGGAATATGTCCTCTACGCCGGTTGCCAAAATGACCTTTTCCCCCGGCCCACGTCTTGTCGTCGCTTGTTGCCGCCTTAAATGCACCGTCGTCCCGCTTCTTCAACGTCGCAACTTCCTGGGTGCCTGGTCTCCTTACACTTCAGGTACCTTCATCATCGGTATCCGCCATCTGGTCGGCCGAAGACTTTACTGCGTCGAAGTGGTT